ATGCTTTTTTATCCTGTCTGAAAGGACTCCGCAGTGGCAGGGGAGGCCACAGCGGGTGCTGAGCGTGCACGGCACTCCCGTGAAGGTGAGTCCCTCTGCCCTGGGGGCCCAGAAGAGGCAGGTGAAAGAGCCAGTGGCTGGGAAGGGGTCTGATCTTGCCGCTGTGCCCCGGAGCAGGAGGTGAATGGCAATGAACACCTGCCCTTGGCTGCAATTTCTCCTCTTGGCACCGAGCGCTGGTGCTTGGATTCAAAGCGCGGTAACAAAGCCCTTGCCGGCGAACACATTTCAACATGTTATTATTCCCAGGCTGGCTTTCAAGATCTCTTTCTATTCCTTCTGTACTGATTGCTCTTGTTTCTCTTGGCTCCCAGCTCTGGCTTTTCAGGCTTCATTAACTGGAATTTATTAGCAACTTTAAACAATCTTCCTGCTGCCAAAAAAAGAGAAAGAAAAGAAGAAGGAAAAAAAGGAAAGAAACAAAGAGGAGACATACTAAACTCTGAGCTGCTCCCTGCCTGTGTGAGGCCCAGCTCTGAACACCTCTATCTGAGCAGGTTTGCTTTGGAGGGAATTCTGGTGAGTGCCTGGGCTGGGACCGTGCAGCCTCTCCTGTCTCTGGAGACAGAGGCCAGGGAGCAGAGGGGAGCACGGCCTGGTGCAAGGACCTGAGAGCCCCTCTCCCAGAGCCCCTCTCCCAGAGCCCCTCTCCTCAGAGCCCCTCTCCTCAGAGCCCCTCTCCTGAGACCCCTCTCCCCAGATCCCCGAGCCCCAGAGCCCCTCTCCCCAGAGCCCCTCTCCCAGAGCCCCTCTCCCCAGAGCCCCTCTCCTGAGACCCCTCTCCCCAGATGCCCTCTCCCATTGCCTCTTGGAAGGCAGCTGGGTCTGGAGAATCTCTGGGCACCCCCTGAGCAGGAGAACGAATTGCACTCACAGCACCTTCCTGAGCAGCTCTCAGTAAAAACAAACTAACAGGGCACTCCCGAGGCCTGCTCTCATTGCTGGGCACACGAGGCAGTGACAGTGAAAATAACTTTACCCAGAGCACACAGGGGGTGATCTGGAGCAGTCCCTGTGCCCTCATCCGTGCCCCTCTGACCCCACGGGACACGCCGGGAGTGCAGAGCAGAAGGAGCCAGTGCAGAAATGTCCTGTGGGACCAGCCTGGCTGTGTCGTGGTCACACACCCTGCTGTCATGGGTGCCTTGGCTGATTGCTCTGCTCCCCTCAGGACCCTCACCTGACACCCTGCTCTGGTTTTTCCCCCACAGGTGTGGGTGTGTGCACTCAGGGCTCAAGTGGGCCCAGCACCTGGATTTGCAGGGCTGCACAGCACTGAGACCAGGCACATCTGTCCTTGTTGGCCACGGGACACTTGTGCTTCACCCACCCATTTTTGCAGCTGTCTTGCCCTTTCCCTTTATCCCTTTTCCTTGGCTGAATCTCAGCTCCCTGCACAAGCTCAGCAATGAGTCCAGCTGATCCCTGACTTCTGTGAAACTTCACTTTCATGAGGAGCCTGGGGTGATGCTAAAATAGAGGAACAGAAAGAGGAGGAGTGGTAAAAGGTGTGAAACACCAGCGCTCCTCCATGGGACCCTGGGCTAATGGGGCTAAATCTAATGAGAGAGAAGAAACAATCAGAGAATCATGGGCGAGAACAGGAGAGGAGAACCATGAGGAGGAGCCAGAGGAACCTGGGCTTTCAAGGACAAGGAGTGTAAAGAGCTCCTTCTGAACATTAGTTCTTTTCATAGAATCTTGAAAAGGAGATTTGAAAATCTGGGTTGAAATTGGCAGTTTTTTTGCTGAGGAACCTCTGATTTTTTTCATAAGGTTCAAGCACCTAAGGCATCTTTGGCAATAAAGCAAAATAAAATTTGAAATACAATTTTCTTTTAGGTTTTACCCAAAGTAAAAGTAAAGGCTAAGAAGTGACCTGAAGGTGAAACTATTTTTTCTCTCTCAGGTTAGAAGAAATTTTTGGGGTTGACCAGAGCCCCAGAACATCAGTTTTGGTTCACCTTGAACTGAATTTTGTGAATTTTGTAAATTTTGTCTTCAGTTGCTCCAGCCTGTTACTCATCTGGTTTATCCAGCATGTAATAAGATTGTAGACATTAAATGATTAGAGAGCATCCAAAGGGGGTCAATGAACATGATTAAGGGCCTTGAGGGGAAAAGTGTGAGGAGCAGCTGAGGGCACTTGTTCTGTTCAGCCCCAGAGAGGAAGATGAGTGGCAGGCACTGATCTCTCTGTGACCAGTGACAGGACCCAAGGGATGTGTCAGGGGAGTGGATTGATCATGGCCCCAGGTCTGACAATTCAAAAAGCATTTGGACAGCTTGGGACCAAGGTGTGACTCTTGGGGATGGTGCTGTACAGGGCTGGGAGTTGGACCTGATGATCTTTGTGGTCTCTTCAAACTTAGACTATTCTGTGACTTTGTGACTCTGTGTAGAAGGCAGACTGGGGCCATAATGCCACCCAAAATCCCTGAGGATGAGAAACCTGCTGAACACTTTCCATCTGCCTGAAGACAGCACTTGCAGCAAGGATGAGCTGCAGCAGAGATCTCTTCACTGTCAGTCCTTCCCTGCCTGGAGGGGGACAGGCAGGAGGGCAGGCAGGCCTTCCTCCTCCCCAGGAGGAACTAACACTGGGTTTGGGATGCCTGGACTGTCCCTCACTGCTCAGCAGGGCTTTCTGCTCTTCACTGTCTTGGCATGTCCCAGCACGGGCAGCTCTGCCATGGGGATGAAGAGAAAGGGCTTGGTCTCGTGTGCTGCTTGTCACCCTGGCAGACACTGGGAATGTGTCCCAGGTAGATGAAATCAGCAGAGATCTGAGCTGTGAAACCTGAACAAACTTCCCTTCAGGATGTCTAAACAAGCAGGATTTGTTTGCTTGATTCTTATGCGTGTCCTGGCACAGAGGGTGATCCCAGCTTGAATGTCATGGTCCTGATGTAATGTTGTGGGATGAACATTTGTTGAAGATATAAATGAAAAGAGCAGGGGAAATGCCAGGCAAGTCTCATTATTGGTCAATGACAGCCCTGTGAATGCTGTACAAACTGGCTCTGTAGCTGTTGCTGAAAGAATCACTTTTAATTTGCCATAATGTATAAAATCCTCCCTTGCTTGATTTCATATAAATGACTTGATTTCCATAAATAGGATTACTATCTTAGTGCTATCAAATTCCAGCAGGCACTTTGCTATGCATAGATATATGATGAAATGCTGCAGTTTGCATTTCTCCCCCTAACTGTGATGTAAGGCCTTTCCAAAGGGGGACTAGTGACACACTGAACCACAGTAAAATGTTATCTAACAACTTCCAATTATTTTTTCAGATTTTCCTCTTTAAATTTTTCCCCTTTGCCTGTTTCATTCATAATTATTTTTGGCTGTGGGAAGCTGGCTCTTTTGGAATCTATGAATATTTATTGGTTGCTGGTTGAGACTGCTCTGTTTGTACATGATGTAACCAGGACACGGCTGCTTGCAGCAAGACACTGCTAATTGTACACAGCAGTCTGTGTGTGTGCAAAGCCTCAGTACCCCCAGTGAAGGTGCTGGGCGTCCACACTTCAGCATGGATGTTGATAAAATGAAAAGAAAGACTGCAAGATGGGTGCAAAGTAGTGAAGAGCCCACCTTCTGTGGGCAACTCTGGGTCAAAAATGCCTCCTTGCCAGCCTGTAAATGCCTGCTGGGGAGTGGGGCTTGGCTGGCTGGGGTCCTTACAACTCTAATGAATTTAAAATACAGACAGATGATGATCAGTTACAAGACCATTTGAAATAAAAAAACCTATAATATAAAAATCACAGAATCCTGCAGTGATTTGGAGGGACCTAAAAGATCATTCCATTCCACCCCTGCCATGGCAGGGACACCTTCCACTGTCCCAGGTTGTTCCCAGCCCTGCCCAACCTGGCCTTGGACACTTCCAGGGGTGGGGCAGTCACAGCTGCTCTGGGCACCCTGTGCCAGGGCCTCAGCGCCCTCACAGGCTGTTATGGTGATGTCTGTAATTCTGACATTTTGGAAAATACCATTTATGAAATGCCAGCGTTGTGCCTTGTGGTGGCAGCAAGATCTGATTCAGAGAAGTGAAAGTGTTTCATTTAGGCAGATTAGGTTGCAGGAACTGTTATATACACAGTAAGTTTATAACACACATCAAATGCAGCATTAATATTAGTATTTCATGGATGCAATAACAATGTTTTGAAGAAATTGTGTTTTTCAACAGAAGCTGTTGTGTTGAAAGTACCAACAGCATGAGAATAACACCTGGAGGTATTTCTCATGGTCAAGTAGAGTAAGACCATACAGGTGCAATTTACTCATGCAGAAATGGTCAACCTCAACATTCTGCCCCCTGGGCTCCCATTTTTGGGGCTCACAAAGGATTCCAGTGGTTTCTTGTGCTACTGGTTAATAGTTTTCACACTTTCAGAAGTGGGGCCACTCCTTCACTGACACACAGCCACATGCTGATCCCCAGGCCTGAGATTGCTGCTGTGTCTGAGTGTGTCTGCTCAGACCTCAGTGCACACTGGTGTATCGTGGGACACCTCAGCCTCTGGGAAAAACTCTTTGGATTTCATTTTTCCAGGGTGGGCTCCAGCCAACCTGCAAAGTGCCCAGGGGTTAATGTGTCTCTGGGCTGCAGGAGGCTGGCAGGGGCACCCTGTCTGCTGAAGGGTGAATGAAACTCCCTGATTGCTGGCTCTGCTCCAGGCTACAGTGTTGATTTCTGAATGGGAGATTAGGTCCTCTTTTATTTTGGCTTTTGGCACATGCATCACCTCAGCCTGAAGGTGACGTCAGTGAAAGCCCTAAGCTGGAGCAGCAAACAAACCCTGTCCCAGCACGCAGCCTGCTGCCATCTCAGCCTGCAGCTGCAGGAACAGCACTGGAGGCTGTGGCCAGTGCTACAGGACCCTCTGAATGTCCCCCCCAGCACCCAACCAGCCCATACTCACAGCTCCTCCAGGAAGCGCAGGTGCCGGAGCGCGCTGGGCTGCAGCTGGCTGATGTTGTTCATGCTCAGGTCTCTGGCAGGAAGGAAAGACAGACGTTTCTGATCAGTCACACAGTGGTTTGCACAGAATAAACCTCAGTGCCAGGCTCTGTGTCCCCTCTCTGCTAAGTGGGAGGGTGAGGAGCCTCGGCAAACAGCATTTCAGCATTGACATCTGATCCCAGCCCAGCTCTGCCTGCAGAGGGGTGGAGAGGAGTAGCCAGGGAGAGCTGGCTCCTTCAGGGTGGTCTGCCTGAGCTTCTGCAAGTGAGGAAGCAAGTCAGGACATTTCCCAACAGCACAAGCAGTACTGCTGTCTCACAGTTATTGGAGAGTGAGCAGGAAGCCCTGTGACACTGGAATGGGACAGTATGTCCTTGGGCCCAAGAGCATCTCTCTGTCACCATGGTCATGCCAGCCCCCTCAGGGAGCTTCTCCAGTGTGTGCACACACATCTGCTTTTGAGGAGACAGCAGCCCATGAGAGAAGGGATCCATCCCACTGGACTGACTTTCTCTACACTGTACAAACCAGAGAAGCACACCAGGACTGAGGGGCAGAGGTTGGCTCTTGGGTGACAAGCTGAGGTTAGGAGGTAGAAGGAACCTGGCTGATTGTGCTTGTCTCACTCTCCAGCTAAAGGCTTATCTCCTCTGCTTAGGCTCCAGTAGAGCCTCTGGAGGAGGCTGTGCTGGTAGCCCAAGGCTCCAGGGTGGTGCTGAGTCTGCAGCCCTGTGCACATCACAGGCACCACGAGCTGCCTGCAGAGCTCTCCTCCTCTCAGGGTGTGAGAGTAGCTGAGTCTGTCCCGAGAGATCTGATACACAAGCTGGTATTTGGGAAATACAAGGATGTTTCTGGGCTCCAAGGCTGTTCTTGGACACCTGAGAGCTGCAACCCTGCCCTCATGAGCAGCTGCATATGAAGAAACCTCTGCTGCTTACCCCAACCTAGACCAGGCTGTGTCCAGGTGAGCATTGACCTTTAAAGCTACGAGGTAAGATGAGGAGGAATGAAAAGCTGGTGTGGTTCAAACCAATGGGAATAGATGGGGCATATCCCCTACAGAGGCATGAGGGGGAAAAGACCCTCAGGAGAACCCAGCAATACAAGAGGGACCTCTCTGAGCTGCTCCATCTGCTCAGAGCACCTGAGATCCCACAGGTCACATATCAAATGATCTGGAGCATCTCAGATGGCTTTGGGCTCTGGATAGGAAATTGCTTCACTGAAAAATGAGTTCATTGAAAAATTTACTGAGACGCCTTTGTATTCCTCAATTTAAAATGCCTGAGTTTTGTGGGTAAAGAGCAGAACACGGAGGGGGGGTGTGTGTGTGTGTCACAGGCTTTTACATTTTGACCATTTTCTACAAAAAAACCCAAATCACCATGTTCTAACCAGCTCTATTTGGCATTGGTCAAGGCAGGTGACACATCAGGAAGGTTGGAAGCTGTCTTTGCATATTCTCTGGAGAGGTGTCCTGTGGTAAAACCACACACTTTTGTGAGCCCTTTTGAAAATACTCCTGGAGAAGTTTACTTTTTTTCTTTATAACTTCCTATCTATGAGAATTCAAAATTCTCTTTTCAGAACGAGTGCAAGAAGAAAATTATTGCCTGCACTGTTCTGTGTGCAATGCTGCATTCTATATCGTGGTGATCCTGGGATACAAGGGTTAAAATATTATTTTGTGCTGCTTCTATTTTTATTTTTAAACCCCCAAGGGCAGTTGCTACTTAGCACCCATTAAAACATCTTTTTTTCCTACATCAAAGTGTCTCCTGTTTGTGTTGTAATGAATCTGTCTGATGTTTTGACATGTTGTGGAACAATGTGAAAATAACGAAAAATAATGTAAAATGAAAGACTGTGAAAGAAAACACAGATCTGAAACAGCCAAGATCTCCTTGAAACTGTGAGGCATATTCCTTAAGTTGCCTTCTGCTGGCAGTGTGGAGAATGCCCCTTGCTTGCTGCAGGAGCCACTTTCCATGCCCCATGGAACTGCCTTCTGTGTTCCATGTTCCATCCAGGTGTGATGGGGACAGTTGGACACCTGGCTGGGTGGTGGCTGCAGATGTGCAGACCCAGCATCAGTCCCAGACAGCAGCAGGGCTCTAGGTGGCTGAGGATGTGGGAGGTCAAATTTCTTTTAGAATCCCAGAATCCCAGAATGGTTTGGGTTGGAAAGGACGCCAAAGCTCATCTCCTTCCACCCCTGTCATGGGCAGGGACACCTTCCACTATCCCAGGTTTTTCCAAGCCCTGTCCAACCTGGCCTTGGACACTTCTTTCCTCCTGCCCTGATCCATACTTAAAAGGAAGAAAATACACTGGTTTCTGAAAAAAGTCTTCCAAAAGGCAGAGGAGAGATGCCATAATCCCATCACTCTGGCAGCCTCACAGCTCCTCAGCCTGTGGATTTTCTTTAAAAGACCCCTCCCCTCCCTCCCACCCTCCTGCAGCCCTGGGGCTCCTGGCCAGGGCAGGTCTGAGACAAGGGGTTTTCTCCCACCATCTCCTTGGGCAGTGAAGAAAAGCACAGCCTGTATTTTCAAGATTGTTACACAGAAAATATTTTGAGTGATTTTAAAGTCCCTGATGTTTTGGTTTGCAGTCCTGCAGGACTCAATGCAATGCACCTACACTGACATCCCTGAAAAGGGCACCCCGAAAGTGCAAATCCTGGCAGTGGTTTGCCAGCTAATGAACAGCACGGCAAAGGTTCCAGGGACTCAGTTTTGCCATGAACTCTCCAGGGTGACATCCCACAGGGACCCCCCCAGCTGCCCCTCCAGAGCAGGGGACATCACACCCTACTTGGCCTGGTGGAATTCCTGGCCTGGCCGTGGTGTGAGGACCTCAGGGAATGTGCAAGGACAAATGGTGTGAAGGAAGAACGAATTCCTCCAAGGGCTGGAAATAAACTTCCCAAGCACAGCCCTGGACCCAGTGATTTTTCTAGCCACAAAAGTACGAGATGTTTCTCCACAGGCTGTCCATGCTTGTGTGAAAGCTGAGGCACAGGATTCTTGCCTGAAGTGTTGTGGGAGTAAATATTTGACTTATTACTCATTTAAAGATGTTGTTGACTTGTTGCTGTGTTTTCCCAAGCTCGTGCTTTTCCTCTTAGTAAGGTTTTTATGTTATGTACATCCCCAACACATGCAAGGGTGGAAATGCTTCCTGTCAGAGCAATCAGAGAAGCTGTTTATCTCTTCAAGTGTTTGGGGGTGGTTACTTCAGTCAGCCACATTTAGCTAATTTAAAAGGAACCCACGGTATTTGAACCTTGTTGGATTATTTTTTCTGCAACATCTAACAGAAGAAATAGGGATCCATGGACTAAACGGGTTAGGGGCTCCTCTGACCTTTCTCAGCTGTGTCAGTGACTTTGACTTTCCAAGCCAGGGCTCTCTTGTGAGTGACTGAGCATCCAGGGAAGCCAAACAAGTGCTGGGTCACTCATGTCTATGCACAGCTCTTGTAATTTGCACTGGAGAAACCATTCCAAAGGTGAGGTCTGTACCAGAGCAGGCAGTAGAGAAGTGCACAAAGAATATGGTTCAAATCCCAAAGTCCCTTAAATTCTAAAATAAATTAGAAAGGTAGGAGAAGAAATTGGGTGCTGCAGCTTCACCCAGGCTTGCAGTGTAGGACCTGCAGAGGAACTGTCCAGATTTGTGCCTTTGAGTTCACGATACCACTCAGCAGTGGTGCTCTGGGACAAGCCATCATTCTCCCGTCCCAGAGCTCCTCTGTTCCTCCTTCCCCAGTGGCTGGCCTGTCTGTCCTCTCTACAAAATATCAAATAAAAGCAGGAATTCTTTTGCTGTCAAATCATCCTTCATGGCTGTGCTCTGGAATGCTGCCAGTAGAGTGAACTGCTCTACTACTCCCAAAACTGAAAGTCTGCTCTCGTAATCACCCTGCTTACCCAAGAAGCAATGTCTTTTAATGCCTCTTGCATTAGGTGTAGAAAACACCTATGCTTTCAAATGGCACTGCACCAAAGCCATCATGGCTATAATTAGTGTGATTTAACTTTCCCCCCTTCCCCAACTAATTCTAAACATTTATCGTAAGCATTTCTAACTTGTACCTGCAGGAAAACTGAGACACAGTTCATGGAAACTGAGCTCATGTGATTCAGCCTCAGACCTTACAACTCCTCTGGCCCTCGAGGGGTTCCTTAAATTATTTGCTTTGATGTCACCTTCTTTCATGAACAACCTTTGATTATTCACTGATTAGCTGATCTTCCTTACCAAAAAATGAGGTGACACACACACACTGCTCTGGGTTCCCTGCTGGGACTGCTCTCCACCAATGCTATGGGATGGTGACCACAGAGTGTTGGCTCAGGGATGATATTGATCTTTAAAGATCAAAGGGGTTTATCCCTGGCACCACTGCTGGGGCAGGCTGTGGTGGTGAGCTCTGAGCTGTGGATGTCACCGTGGGGAGTGCACAGCCCCACTGGCAGAAGGCAGAGAAGGCACCTGCAGGGCTTTGTGGACAAAGGGCAGGATTTGATGCTGTCACAAAGGGGCTGCACAAAGGACATCCTGCAACCCCTGCTCGAGACAGGCCCAAGGAACATCCCCAGGATGCTCCCCTATGGACAGAGGGATTGATGCCTCTCTCACAAACTCAACGCATCTAAAAGCTGCCCACAAAACTGGGGGAAGATGAGCCCTGCCCATGAGCCCCAAAGCTCCTGATGTGTGTCCTCCTGGGCACAAAGCAGAGTGTTTCCTCAGAGATGTGCTGCAATGGAAATTAATGCAAGCAGAAGTGAACTGACCCAAAGCAACAGAGGTTGAAGCCTCCCTAGAGTAACACAACAGGACCAGGGCTGCTCAGGCAGGAGGACTGGAAGGGGAAACTGCAGGGGGAGGGTTTGCTTGAGGCCAAGCAGAGAGACCTCAGAGCCAGATGTGCATCTGGGTGTAGAAAATTGCACGGAGCTGGGAGAGAGATGCTCTCCTGAGAGGCATCACAGGACAGATGTCCTACAGAAAGAACAAC